GGGGGAGGGCCCGCCCAGGACCGACCTCATGGCCTTCAGCCCCAGCCTACCGCCTTGTTTAGGTTCTACGGAGGGATCAGGTCAGAGAGAAGCGGATTCAGAACTTTTGAAAGAGGTAAACTTGTATTTCAAAAATTATTTTACTAAATATCTTAGCCTTGTTTTTGTGTGTTTAAAACATCTTCATTTCCAAATTTTAGATTATTCTTTAAGTGTAATTTTAATAATTGTATTTTACTTAGTAATTCTATTGGCGTTATGACTTGGATTATTCTTCAGTGTGAAAACTTATGTCAGCGCGACCAGCAGTTAGTGTAATGGCTATGTTGCTGGACTCCCATGTAGTCAACCATGGTTCGAGTCCTGGACACGGTGGCTTACACGCACACTGGGTGCATGTGCATGTGTGCCCAAGATCCCGAGAAGAGAATAGAGGAGAAGGGATTACGTGCCCCTTTCCCCCCCCCCCGGGGGGGTGATTTCTTGCTTTCTGTCTCTCTGTCTCTCTGTCTGGCAAGCACACATGCCCTATAGCAAAAACCTCTCAAAAAACTAAATAAAAAACAAAACAAAAACAACTTATGTCAGAGACCATAATGAAATGTTCAAAGAAAATAATTATTTTTTGTTGCATTCCTATTACTTTTAAGTATCTATGGAGTATGCAAATATTTATTTTAAGAAAGCCAAAGCAAACAAACAATACAAAGCCACCCTCCCCCAACACTGTGAAAACTTACACATGTAGAAAAAATTAAAAAAATTTATTATACATTTTACCAGAGAACAGGTGTGCTCTCTGCAGAGAGAGAGAGAGAGAGAGAGAGAGAGAGAGAGAGAAGTCCTTTTTTCCCTTTTGGGTTGGAGCACATGCACTCACAGGCTTAGTGTGGTTTTTAAATTTTTTTGGAGAGCTTTTTGCTATAGGGCGTGTTCGCTGGGCAGAAAGATAGAGCGAGACAGAGAGACAGAAAGCAAGACATCACCCCGCAGGGGGAATGGCCACGCTGCAATCCCTTCTCTTGCATTCTCTTCTCAGGATCTTGGGCATGCACACACATGTGCCCGGCATAAGTTTAAGTCACCGGGCCCTGGACTCAAACTGTGGTTGACTACATGGGAGTCTAGCAACATAGCCATTACTCCAACTGCTGGTCCTGCTCAGTGTGTTTTTTAAGGCACCAGGGCTAGGACCGGAATCATGCTTGGCTATGTAGGGTCTAGCTCCCATAACTACCAGACCACTGGGCTGGCCCAAACTGATGTCTTTAAAATACACATTTTTGGGATCAGCAGGTGGTGTGGGGGTTAAGGTGCTGGATGCCACATAGCCACTTCTGCAGCTCAAGTCTGGGACCTGGGCTTGCAAATCATTCCAGGTGTGTGTGTGTGTGTGTGTGTGTGTCCAAAATCCCAAAAGAAGAATGGAGGAGGAAGGATAGTGGAATGGCCGTCCCCCCCAGGAGATGATTTCTCACTTTTCCTCTCTCTGTCTCTCTCTGGCAATGCATGTACACCGTATAACAAAACCTAAGAAAAAAATTCATCTTCTAATTCATAAATATAGCAGCACGTGTCTCCTTTTATTTAGTTCCTTTCTAATGTTTCTCTACAGAGTGTCACTTTTTTTTTTCTGTGAAAGTCTAGCAAACACATTTATTTTTAGAGAGATTTTTGCTATAGGCACGTGTGCTCACTGGAGAGACAGAGAGACAGAGAGACAAAAAGTAAGAAATCAGCCCCCAGGGGGGATGGCCATGCTGTAATCCCTTCTTCTCCATTCTCCTCTTGGGATTTTGGGCATGCACACACACATACCTGGTGTGAGGTTTAAGTCACCAGGTCTGGGACTCGAACCGTGGTCAACTACATGGGAGTCCAGTGATGCAACCATTATGACACTGCTGGTCCCAGAGCAAACACATTTTAAGATTTATATTCAGATACATGATATTTTAACATGTGATACTTTAAAAAGTTTTGTTTCTTTTTTCTTCTTTTTTTTTTTTTTAAAGAGTGCCAATTCTTGGTAAATTCAAAACAATTCCATGAATCTTGAAGGACAAGTTAGATTTTCTTTACTTTATTTTTATTTATTTATTTATTTATTTTTGGAGAGGTTTTTTCGCCATAGGGCGCGTGCACTTGCCAGACAGACAAAGAGAGACATAGACACAGAAAGTGAGAAATCACCCCCAGGGGGTATGGTCACGCCACAATCCCTTCTCCTCCATTCTCCTCTTGGGATCTTGGGCATGCACGCACACATGCCCGGCGTGAGTTCTAAGCCACCGGGTCCGGGACGCGAACCGTGGTCGACTACGTGGGAGTCCAGAGACATAGCCATTATGCTAACTGCTGGTTCTCTGTTTCTTTTTTTAAAAAAGAATTTATAAGTATAGTTTTTTAAAAGAATGATTTATTTAATTTAATTTATTATTATCATTTTTCAATTTGATCAGGGTTGTGGGGAGTGAGAAAGCAAGCCACCAGGTCCAGGACTTGAACTGTGGTTGACTGTGTGGAAGTCCAGTGCCTCAAATTCCATGCCACCTGCTGGCCCCTAACTAATTAAATGAGAAAGCCAGTCACCAGGTGCAGGACTCAACTATGGTTGGCCATATGGGAGTCCATCATGCCAACTGCCAGTCCCTAAAGTTTCATTTCTAATTGATTTTTGCAGTTAAAAAATGAAGGTCCCACTTAGCTGGTGGCACAGGCAGTTGGGCATCACTGTGAATACTGCAGCCACATGGGAAGTCTGGATTTGGATCCCGGGTTAACTGGAACGCCCTGAGCATACCTGTGTGTGCCAGTGATACTGGTTTGCTGGGAGGCTGTGGGGAGGTTGTAGCATGGTCATTCCTTGTCAGGGGAACCACCCGCCTCAAATGAAATAAATAAATATGTAATATTAAAAAGTTCCTATTTGCTGTTATTTACTATAATTTTTTTTTAAATTAACATTGGTAGTGAATGTTATCAAATGTTTTATTTGCACCTTTTGAGTGCAAAATTTTTCTTCTGCAATGTTAATGTAGTGACTTACATGGATGATTTTCTTTCTTTCTTTTTTTTTTTTTGGAGAGATTTTTGCTATAGGGTGCATGCACTTGCCAGAGAGACAGAGAGAGACAGAGAGAGAGCAAGTGAGAAATCACCTCCCAGGAAGATGGCCACACCACGCAATCCCTTCTCCTCCATTCTCCTCTCAGGATCTTGGGCACGCACACACATGTGCCCAGTGTGAGTTTAAGCCACCGGGTCCAGGACTTGAACTGCGGTTGACCACATGGGAGTTCAGTGACATAGCCATTACGCTGCTGGTCTCCATGTATGATTTTCTTATGGCAAATCAACCTTTAATTCCTTGAATAGGCCTTTATACTTTTATATGCTACTTGATTTATTAAATTAAAAAACATGTATTTGCATCTAAGTTCCAGGCTGATACGATTAGGTTCTTGCTTTTCTTCCTAATTTCTTTATTTGTCAGTGTTCAAGTTATGCTAGCTTCTTAAATAAATATGGAAGTGCTGTGTCTTTTTCTATTGTTTTTAGAGAGTGCCTTTGTTCATAAAAAAAAAAAAAGAGAGAGAAAGAAAGCCTTACAAGGAGTGCAGTCATGCCACAATTCCCTTTCCTCCATTTATCCTTCCTGTCAGGATTCTGGGCATGCATATATAAGCTCTGGAATGCTCTTCAAGTTGCTGGGCTGGGAATTTGAACTGCAGTAAGCCATGTGAGATCTGGCTCCCAATTTACAGCACTTAACCACTGCACTACAGGGCCTTCCTCCTTTTCTATTTTCTATGAAAGTTTATATAATCTTTGAGATATTTCTTATCTGAATGTAGAACTTACTATTTTGGTGGGAATATTTCTGATTACTGATTCAGTTTCCTTAATAGTCAAATAACTGTTCAGAGTTTTATTTCCTCTTTAGTCAGTTTTATTATGTGATAGTTTTCCCCTTTGAATCTAAATCCTCAGTTACATGTTCACACTTTCTATATAATCTACAGAGTTAACCACCTTCCATTCTTTTTTTTTTGGAGAGGTTTTCGCTGTAGGGCGCATGCGCTCGCCAGACAGACAGAGAGAGACAGAGAGAGACAGAGAGACAGAAAGCGAGAAATCATCCCCAGAGGGGATGGCCACACTGCAATCCCTTCTCCTCCATTCTCCTCTCAGGATCTTGGGCACGCATGCACATGCGCCCAGCGTGAGTTTTAAGCCACCGGGTCCGGGACGCAAACTGCGGCCGACCACGTGGGAGTCCAGCGACAT